AGGGCGAAGGAGAAGCGCGCGCGCCTGGAGGTATTGATCAAGCTTGAAGAGGATCTTTTGGAAGCTCGGTAAGTGTATCAGGTGCTGCTATGACCATAGCCATAATAAGCTGATGATGCAGTTTTGCTGTAACTAATTAAATGAAACAGGCAGCAAATGAGGGACATGGATGTGGCTAATGCACCTATACGAACGGCAGAGCAACGTAATGAACTACTTGCCCTGCCCAGGACCCTGGCAGAACTGGAGCAAAAAATTCAAGAGGTAGCGGATGAGGTTGGAAACAATGAATTACTGAATGTTAGGCGAGGCACAGGTAAGTTGATTCATCTTTGATTATTGTATTTCTACTTACACCTTTTGCTGGCATGAATTGTCTTTGTAGATAACCGATTGAAGGCTGTGGTTACTGTGCAGGTTGCTTTAGGATTTTTGTACGAGGCAAAATTTGGTGCGGAACAACAACAAGTAGATGCTGCAAGGAGAACCAGTACGTTTGCTCACCATCTAGTTATGATTATTATTGACCACTGGTACTGGGCAATCCTTCAAGGTGCGAGGCAGCAGCCACGAAATGAGGAATTAAAAAGGAAGAAACGGGCGCTACTGAAGAAGAAGTTTGATACGTACTTGAGGCACGCGGCGCGGTATAACCAAAGATTTAGACCGCGACAGCGTCTAGCTGAACCCACCTTCGATGAGGTTGTAGCTATGGATATGCTACATCCGTTTTGGGACGAAGTGGCTCTGAACCATCCAGATGAGCCATGGGCGTCTTGTCAGATCACCAAAGATGGAATGGTAGCACTTCGAAGTCAAATATCATCTGAAGAGGAGATGCGGCGCCTTGGACGCGAAGTCCGACAGATGATGGGATGGGGCCTTGACTATCAACAGCGCATGGAAGCATCCAAGCCAAATGAGGCAAATGGTAAGTCATTTGGCACTTTCCTGTCATTTTACTTATATTGAAGCCGCACTAAGACAGTAAATCTCCAGCCCGAGTGCTAGAGTGGAAGTCTATCCACAGTGGACTAGAGAAATGAACCTGCCGCCTATGGAAGCAATGGGACTGAGACTTACTAGAGGTTGTCAATACAACCAAGCAGTACATGGAAGGTAGTGCGGCAGGCGATGGTGACTTGATACTTCGGTGGCAACAAATGGTCGGTCGCACTGCTGATACTTGGCAAGCAATACTGGGAGTCCCCATTTTTTGGGCAGAGGAGGAGGATGAGCAACTTGAAGACGAGGAAGAGATGGATTGGTGTGGCGATATTTTTGAATATGAATATGAATATTATTAGAGTAAAAAACTTTAGTAATCACAATGGTAGTTTGATTTCAATGTGTACTAGGACTTGAGGACTATGAAATTTATTTGTAAACTTTATTGAGAGATGTATAAAATTTTGCAATTTATTAGCCCCACATTAAGCTTTCGATATTATCATTTGTATTCATAAAGTCAATGCATATGTTTGCAATTATAACATTATATTATCGAACGTGAACTCGTGAGCTTATATCTTGAGTCAAACTGGTATCTTGTTTGAGACTCAGTATTGATGATAGTGTCATTAAATTGGGTATATAATGTATGTGGCGAGTGAGTCATTTGTTTCTAACGGTTATGTGTGAAAGACTTGGAAGACATGTCTGTTTTCATGAACAGTCGATTGGCACTTAGCGGTCGATGAAAGCCCACTTATCTTTATTTTATCTTTATTAACAGAGTCAATTTGAATACTAACGTGTATTACAAAGGTTAGTAGCAATCAATTGTAAATCAAAAATTTGACAATAACTCATAGTAGAACTAAGTACAAAACTATGGTGAATACAGATAGCACGTATGTTGCATCGATCAATCGGAAATGATAGTAGCTTTTTTGTTTTGACCGCGACGGCGGGCCTTGGGCTTGGGCTTGGGCTTGAGAGAGGCAAGAAAGGCCGCATGGGATTCGATCAGGGGGTTCCAGGTTTCCAACCAGCTTAAGGCTTCAGCTTTCGCGAATTGTCGCCAGTTGGGGCAAAGGCGAGGGACGGGAAGGTTTGGCAGTGTAAAATCGAGAAATAGGGGAGTGAAGTGGTAATCGGAATAGACCATGACGATTGGGGGGTTGTGATTGGAGGGAACGTTGTAGGGGAAAAAACTCGGCTATTAGACATGCCAGAGTCGTAGTACAAAACTGGGCGAGTGAATGTGGTGGCTATGATGCCACCCCACCCTGGCATGGTAAGCCAATACTGTTGCTCGGAGACCACGTTCGGTTTGGTTGTTGATAGTCGAGCTAAGCACTGTGTACGTGGCTCAGGTAATGTACGCTCAGTGAATATCTCGGCCATATTCATTAGGGTATCCTGCATACTTTGTCGGATGGCCAGCCAATCATCCTGCGATTGACCAAGTGAGAGAGCGATCGCACGGAACCCACAGTGGCCGTCCGCCTTCACTTCTCGTACGTCGATAATGAAAGGTCCCAGCCATTCTGGTATACGGTACTTCTTGATGAGGGCTGGCAGAGAAGGGTTGATGATATTTGGCTTCTGTAATTACGGTACTCAAAACAATCAGGTTCGTGCCACCTTTTTCAAAAAATGTCAAAAACATAGATTCAAAGTTGACCTTTTGGCGGGGGAATTCCTGGGAATTCGCTGGAACTTTGTTTTTGGATTTTTCTACAGTTCATTTCCCCACAAAAACGA